TCCCCCAGCTGTGAGCCTTTCAACCTTCTAAGTATTCCTTTATATGTGGTTCAGAGTTCTGGGACCATCCCCTGAGGCTGCTTGGTCGGGTATTCTGTGTTGTTGTTGGAGGAGCTTCTGCTATACATCCACCTGATCCGCCATCTTGTTTGTTCTCCAATAGCTTCACATTTTGATATTTTTATTTAATGAAGGTTGTGATGATTTTTCAGCAATACTTTTTGACTTATCCCATGCTACCTTAACTAAAAAGAACACGTTTTTTGTTTTGTTTTTATATCTCCAAGTATGCCTAATTCCCTTATCAAAAACCTTCAACCCTCCCCCTCACCAACAAAGAACCTCAGGACCAGAAACATAAGCCACAGTAAAAATTGTGACATAAGCAAACAGCATACCAGAATTTTACTAAATATTCATAATGGTGATTATGAAGCCAAAAGTCATTATTTGGATGCAAAGGGTTTCTCTTCTTCTTAAAGTACCTAGATCTCAGCAGTTTTGGTTTTGAATTGAAAGTAAATGAGTTCTCATTATAAGGCCTCCACCCCTTTCTGAAGGAGCTCTGGTAGTGGTTCTTCAGTGGGCTGCTTATCTCATAGAAACTACAGGGGAGAAACAGAAGGCTTTCTGCTCCCTTAAAGATTTACAGCCTCGGAAGCCCTGTACAGGGTCGCTAAGAGTCAGAACCGACTTCACGGCACATAACAACAACAACCCCTTTCTGTATACCAAAGCCAAAATTCACTGCTATCAATTCCACAGCAACTCATAGTGAACCTATAGAATGCTTCCCAGGCTGCAAAGTTTTATATGGGCAGATAGCCTCAACTTTCTCCCAAGGAGAGGCTGGTGGGTATGAATCGCGGACTTTGCGGTTAGGAGTTCAGTGCAAGGGCTTAAATAGTTGGTGGCTTTTCAGGTGAGAAGCCCAACTGCTGGGTTGTGAAAAACCCAGACTCATACCGTCATTGGCATTGTTGAGCTCTGAAGAGCTGTAAAACCTCTAAGAGTGTCAGAGGTGAGTTGAGAAGGTGTCACAGGATGAAGGCAGTCCCTAAATAGGTCACAATTGTGCACACGCTGTATCTCACATAACAGTACTGGCACATAATAAGGGCTTAACATATTTTCCCTTCAATACACTTTTAAATTCTTGGTTGGTTAGTTCTGTGCCGTGGAGTCAGTTCCGACTCATAGCGACCCTGCAGAGGGTTTCAGAGGCTGTAAATCTTTACCGGTGCAGAAAGCCTATTGATTGATTTTGATTGTGAAGTGCCGTCGAGTCGATTCCGACCCATAGCGACCCTGTACAGGGTTTCCAAGGGTGTAAATCTTTACGGGAGTAGAAAGCCTCATCTTTCTCCCGTGGAGTGGCTGGTAGTTTCGAACTGCTGACCTTAAGGTTCGCAGCCCGATTCGTAACCACTACGCTACCAGAGCTCCTTTAACACTATCTAAATGAATACTTCTACCACCACCACCAAAGGATTTACAGCCTCGAAAACCCTGTATAGGGTCGCTATGAATCGGAACCGACTCCACGGCACATAACCACCGCCACCACTACTACGGAGTTATGGTGTGGTGCTGTTGGATAAGCACTGGACTGCTAACCACAAGGTATGCGGTTTAAAATCATCAGCCGCTTTTAGAAAAACCTACACAGGGTCGCTATGGGTCCGAACCGGCTCAGTGGCGCTTAGCAAATTATAAGTGCAGTATTTAACATCGCTGCTTTTGTTAAAGTGCCGACGAGTCGGTTCCTATAGCGACTCTGTAGAGGATTTCCGAGGAGTGGCTGGTGAGCTTGAACCGCCTACCTTGAGATTCAAGCAGCACTACACCAGGGCTCCAGCTTAAAACTAGTGTCTCTAAAATTGGATCACATAAAATCTATAACCTTAAAACTAAGAGGAATTGCTTTCTAGTCTCCCTGCTAACATATGTGCCAGTCAGAAGTGTAAGTGGACCAGGGATTGAGTGGGGACAAAGAACAGATTAATTATGGTGACGGATACGGATACTTATGGTGACCTAACATGCCAAAGCACTTGGTATTTAAAGCTCCTTTAAGCTTGGTTTCCTTCCCCCAGCCCCACCACGTGTCTTCTTCAGACACCATTTCATTGGGTCTGATGAGGTGCATAATGATTCAAAATGAATGAGCAAACTTGCCTCTTCATTCCTAAAACCTTAGCTTTAGGAGTGCTTTTGTTCAGTGGAGAATGGGACAACTTACTCTTATTAGGATGACCACTTTCATAATTCTTACTTATTTAGGGAGTCATGTTGAAAAGTAAAATCAAGATAATACATGATCATTGTAACTTTAAAATAGCATGGTTAATAATGTCTCAACCAACAAGGTCAGAAAAAAATTAATAACAATAAAATTCAAACAATACTTCAGTAGCATTATGCTTTAAGGTATTTACAAAATGTTGGGGGAAAAGCATCAGGTTACCAACAAGTAACTTTTGATAAGCAGGTGTATATAATCCACGTATTGAGCATAAAAGCGCAATCACCATTTTTGTCTTGACTTTAAGACAGTTAAAACAACCGAGAGAGAAGTGTTTGGGGCACGCCTTCACCTCCCTGCCGCCTAGCACTCTCCTTGAGACCTCCAATTCACCCTGACGCACCCCGATATCAGGTGCCAAGTCGTAAGAGCGAAAAAACTTCCTCTTTCCGGCGGGGTGGGGCTTGTGTGGTGTCGGGGCCCCAGCCTGCGTGCTCCTGCGTGGCTTTACTCCTAGACCAGGGTCCCTCCGGGCCTGGCTGCCCTCCGAGGCCGGGCCGGGAGCCCCCAGACCCGTGCAGAGTAGGCGCCGCGCCCCGCCCGCCCCGGCGCTTCCGCCCAGCCCCACAACCCCGCACCTGAGGATGTTGTCCGCATAGGTGAGCAGCAGTTTGGACGCCTCCAGAAAGGTCTCTAGGGAGTTCTGGCAGAGTTCGGCAACGGCCGGGGACGAGGAGCCCGAGGAGCTGGCCAGCGTCGCCGCCGCCGCCGCCATGCTTGAGCACCCGCGGCCGTCGCCGCCCCTCGCGCGCCACGTCCCGCACTGAGCAGGCGCCTCCGCGCGCCGCGGCCACTGCAGCCTGCGGTGGGTGGGGGTGGGAGTGGGAGGGACCGGTCAGGAGGGGCGGGGGCTTGGGTCAGGGGGGTGTGGGGTGGGGCCTGGTGGTGAGGATTCAGGGACGACCAGGTGGTTTTACGTGCGTCCTATGGCCAGCCTCAGTTGATCCAGCCAGGAGTGTGGGAAAGCCCTGTACATCTCCACCTAGCCTCGCCCAGATAAAACAATCTTCCAGCCTCTTCTAGCAAATTGCCAAGCTCTCCTAGATAGATGTGAATGAAAGGCCCCAGAAGGGAGAAACAACAAACGTTCAAAAACAAACTAATGGCTATAAGCTCATCTGTTTTCAGATATATTGGTTCCTTTTAGAATTAAGTGTATGACTGGAAATTTCTTACATAAATCAGCGTTCAAATAGTATGACAGCACTGTATGGAAGTGTGTTTCAAACTGTATGTTAAAAATCAGCACAGATAATAACAAAATAGAACGGAGGTAAGGAAGGAAGAAAATAAAATCATGCACTCCGCATAGTAAGGGCAAAAATTGTTTCGGGCTTTGTTTTACAAATAGATGAGTCCGGTAGCCCTCTTAGAAGTTACATCCTCAACTTAATTTATCTACCTAACCACACCTTTGAGAGTATATTCATCAGTATTAAAAATTACTTCTTTTATTGCAGAAATATATTGTCAAACCTCCGAAAATATTTTTCTTGAAGTTATGTTTCTAAGATAGGTCATTTGCCTACTCTCTTTAAATATTCTTGATGATCTTTGCTGTTTTGAACTTTTCTTACAGTATCTCTGAGCAAGACCTTGAACTATACTATTCTCTTCAATTACCATTCATGACAAGTTTTTAATAAGTTGTTTTTGAACCAACTTCCAGAAATAGTATATTTAACAGGTTAGCTGCTGGAACTGAAAAATTCAATGGCTTAATATGAGAATTTTCTAGCTCATAGTATAGCTTTTTTCTTTCAGACATCCAGGCTTTTTCCATCCCTTAGAGCAGAGGTGAACAAACGTTTTCTGTAAAAGTCTAGGTAGTAAATGTTTTAGACTTTGGAACCATGTAGTCTTTAGAGCAACGATTTGCTTGCTTCTGCTGTTATAATGTAATAGTCGTGTCACTAGGGGGTGAGGGGGCTATGGACTGTACCAGGTAACATGGTCACAGTGAATGACACCAAAATGACTGCCTATAACATTTTTCTGGTGTTTCAACAGAGATTTATTAGTATTACAAAATATCTTGGTAGCTAGCTATAACAGCAAAAACATTTTTCATGTTTTGAAACATGAAAGCCCAGTTTACATATATCAATATGCCCATAAGGCTAAACCTCTATGCTGATTGACTTTCTGAACCTACTAATGTGGCACTCTGGGTTTTCTGAACCTACTAATGTGGCACACTGCAAAACCCTTTAAACTGCAAAATCAGCAGATCAAGCTTACCAGCTGCTCCTCAGAAACCCTATACAGGGTCACTATGGGTCGGAAACAACTCATTGGCACTTAACAACAACAATGCGGTCTGGTCAGAGTCCTGGTGTGGCGCTGTGGGTTAATATACTGGTCTACAAGGTCTACTTGAGCTACAAGGTCAGCAGTTCAAGCTTACCAGCTATGTCTTGGAAACCATAAACAGGGTCACTATGAGTGGAATCCAACTCGATGGCACACAAACAATGTGCTTTGGTCAGAACTCTCTTTATTACCCAACTTCAATGACACCTTGAGTCACGTGATTTTGTCTGCACAGCTACAAGCATGCTCTGTTTATGTTGCTGTCAGTGCTGTTATAGTTGTTAAAATGAACAGACATTTCTTATAGTTCTTAAATGTGTCTACTCTGAATTGTATCTTTTAATTGAATTTTCACTTAAACTGCATGAAACTATGTAAATGTAAATATATTAGACTGTGTAATATAATATATAAATGTAAAATAATAAATATAAATAAATACAAAATGTAAAAATAATGTATTAGACTGTGTGCATGTTATTGTAATTTAAAGGTATAATTTTAATTTTGCAAGTCGTTTTGGTCACGGAGTCCTGGTGTAGCACTATGGGTTAATGCACTGGACTGCAAAGTCAGTTTTTGAACTACAATGTGTGCAGTTCAAGTTCACCAGCTACTCCTTGAAAACCCTATTCAGGGTCTCTATGGGTCGAAACTGACAATAATGACAACAACATTGCTGTTACATTCAATGATATATGGAAATTAAGATTTCCGAGTAACATTAGTATAACAAATATTACTAAGGATTCTGTATGATATGGTCCTGGAGGAGATCCATGGGAGACACTGTGAGTTAATGCACTGGGTAACACCAACCCGAGTTACACCACTCTACAAGACTTAATATAAATGGGCATGGTGTGTTCCAATCAAAGTTTATTTACTAAAACAGGCAGCCTACTAGATTTGGCTTGCAGGGTGTAGTTTGTCAACTTCTGCCATAAAGCCTCCAAGTTTTCTGCACTTAAGCCAGTGACTGGAGAAAAAAAGAAGATATATCTAATTTTCAATCACATGGTTCTTTCCCATTTGATTGGCAAGAATGAGGCTCTATCTAAATAAAAGAGGAGACTAGGAAATGTAATCCCTAGCTGAACATGGTATTCCTCACAACTCTGTAACACTGAAGATGGGGGTACAGGAAGAAGGTTGGGACTAAAGCTGTCTCTAACACAGTTGAAAACCACCGGGTGATCCTTGGACACCCTATACAGGGTCACTATTAGTCAGACCTGACTCAATGGCACTTAATAATAACATTTCCATTAACATATTTATCATAATAATTCTTTAAGAAAATCACTCATATAGTGATTTATGTGGGGTTTTTGTTGTTGTTGTTATAAGTAACAGGACACTTTCCAAACAAAATCTTAGGAAACACAGTACACAAAAAACAAACAAAATTGAGATGCTCTAGAATAGAAGCAAGGGAAGGGAGGGAGGGGTCCAGAATGTGGTCAGCTTAGCCTTGCCCTTGACAAAAATAATGTCCATGGGGTACTTTTGGGGAAATAGGAAACCACTATGTGAAAACCAATATAAAAGTATCGAGATTGTGATAATTACGCATAGTTCATAAAATAGCCATTTTAAAGATTATTCTGTAAATTGTTTATTGTAAATTACTTGAACATTTAATCTCTTTCAAATAATTCTTTACCAACTTTTCTCTTAATGTCTGTGTAAATACATTACAATCTTTCTTGAACACCACTGTTTATGAAGCTATTAGAGGAATTCACCATAATTGAGAAATTTGTCTCATTCTTTTCCCATCTATTTCTTCCTACTAGAACCATGTTGTAGATATTTTGACTTTTTAGTTTCCTTTTGAAAAGCTGGGGATATTAAGCTACTCTCCATCCACCATTGTTTCAGACAACTAAAAATGGTCTAGTAATAAATAAACGTGAACCTCCTATACTTTTACTGTTTTGTTAACTCCCAAACACTGAATTTTCTTTCAGATTCCAGGTATATAAAGAACAGCATCTTTATAGTTGACACATGATGGCACTATTCTTAAATGGATTTTTCTTTTTTTCTTTTTTTTTAAATAAAGAACCTGCTAAAATTTTTCTCAGGATGAGTTCTACAATTTTTTTAAAAAAAGAAGAAAATATTGATCTTAACAAAGACCATCAGCAGAAAAGGGTTGAAACTTTCCACGAGCTGGTGTGGTGTCATTATGCATTAATCAGCAACTATACAGGGTATCTATGAGTCGGAATTGACTCCACAGCACTTAACAACAACAACATTTATTGAGCACTTACTGTGTGCAAAACAGTCTGAGATAAATGGCATGGTGGTAGTGGTGGTTGTGTGCCACCAAGTCGATTCCTACTCATAGCGACCCTCTATAGGGTTTCCAAGTCTGTAATAAGTCTTTATAGGAGCCAAAAGCCTCATCCTTCTCCCTTACAACAGCTGGTATTTGAACTGTTGATCTGGTGGTTAGCAGCCCAGCTCATAATCCACTACACTGCCAGGGCTGCTTGAGACAGATGGCAGAAGGAGTTTTTAATCTAATGTTGTTGGTCAAGTACTGTTAAGTTAGTTCTGACTTATAGCAACCCTGTATAGGGTTTCTGAAGAGCAACTGGTGGGTTTGAACTGTGGTTAGCTTATCCTACAGAGCCATACCAGGAGTCTAATCTAATGAAGATAAAATCTAAATAATGATAATATTTGACATAGGACTATCCCTTTAGTTTATAAAACATAAGAATTGATTGTAACAGAAACAACTCATTTGGTCAGTAACACACTAAGTAATCCATATGTATTAGTCAATGTAAGGATGTATGTTTATTCAGGTGTTGTTAAGTACCACTGAGTGGATTCCGACTCATGGTGATCCTGTATAGGGTTTCAAGGAGCATCTGTTGTGTTTGAACTGCTGACCTTGCGGTTAGCACTCTAGCGCTTACCCTACAGCACATCAGGACTCCTATTCATTTATTCACCACGTATTTATGAAGTGACTACTAAAGTCTAAGCACTGTGTGAGGTACTGGGGATACAACAGCACAGGAGACAAGCATGGGCCCTGCTTTCATGGAAGTGAGTTTAGAGTAGTGATTAGTTAGATACACAGCAGCAGCAAGGTCAGGGAATTTCTTGTTTGTTAAGTGCCGTCGAATTGATTCCGACTCATAGCAACCATCATTCTAGGAGCAGCTAGCAGTTCGGAGCCACTGACCTTGTGGTTCTCAGTCCAGTGCTTATCCTATAGTGCCACACTAGAAATGCAAATTCAGACCCATCCTTATGAATGTGGTCTTGCAGTCTATAATAACAAGAAGCCCACAAGGTGATTCGTTGTTGTTCTTGAGAATATACACATCAGAACATATAAAAGTTCACCAATTTCTACATGTACAA